CAGTGAGAGCATATCCAAAGGGCAGGGTAACTGAGAATGTGGGGTTGGGGCCTAGACTCTCATTCTTCAGTGACCACTTACTACCATCCTGGCCCAAGGCTGGTTATTTTCCTTAAGTGAGTGGCCATCTGATAAATGAAGATAAAGACAGGAAGTATGTGGAGGTCCAGAGGTCATAAGAGTATTTCCCACATAAAGGCATCACATTCTGTGTGAGAAGAAGCAGAAATGGTTTGAGGAATGGCTGAGTCTGGGGAAAATATACAATCACTCTCTGCACCAGGTTTTGATAAACAATGACCCCCAAGAAGACGCTCCACTTCCACTGGAATTTGGATAATGATCCTCCACCCACCAAAACATTCTTTACTTTAAATTACTGTCTAGTTTTACTTAAATTTCACAGGTTTTCTCAGTTCAAATCCAGGAACCAGATGCCCCCCAACACACACACACACACACACACACACACACACACACACTTTCTTCCTGCAGAGTACACAGACTGAAGCTAACTCCTCCACTCTCTACCTGAAGTTGCATATTTAAAAGTCTGCTAATCACAGTACCTATTAACATATAATGTATTCACATATAAGTATAATAATGCCAGAACACCATTTACCTATGAGGACTGAGCTCAAAAAGCACTGGAAACAGTTTCCTGGATTGATCTTGCCAACCAAATCTATCTGTCCCCCAACCAGCTTCTGAAATACCTTCTGTTCCAATCTGCTGGAGCCTTTGTCTCATTCCCTTAGATTCTGTTCACTCCTCCTAATTCACTCTCTGCTATGCAGATCCCAAATGTCCTGAGCTCCTTTGACATTCCAGATTTTACAAGTTAGAAAGGGCCTGAACTTTTAAATTTCCAGAGCCCCATCCATGCCTAAGAGTTTCCCACACTAAGCCTAGGTCTCTACCTTCTTGTGGCCACCGCCCTTTCTCATGCACTTCTCCAGCCTGTCTCTTCCACAATGGCTTCAGTGGTGCTCTCAAAAAACTTCCCACAGAAAAGAGCAGAGTGATGTGACTGAAGATCTGTGGGATCTTGGCTTTGAGGGCTCAAGACTCAAAGAGGAAAGTGATGAGTCTTCTCTCTTGGGAGCATTTTAAGAGGTGACATCCCCAAGTCTGCAAACAGTGATAAAGTACACAGCCAGCAAACCTGGTGACTACTGAACTAAAAATATATTTATCAAGAAAGTAAGGCTAAATGCTTCCAGGAAAATAACTTTTTTTTTTTAAGAAAATGCTTTTTGAAAAATAACTCAAGCCAAATAAATACTTCTGGGAGACTCTCTGGAGCCCAGACCTGAAAAAGAACTAAAAGTAATCAATAAACTGTCCTCAGTAGATTCCAGGTCTGGGATTTTAGACCAAACCACGAGGGGAACCCTCAGGGGAGCTCTCCCTGGACCCCAGAGTCATGCCCTTATTTCTTTGGTTTCTAAAATAAAACTCAAGTGATAATCTTAGATAATGCGAAGAAAGCTTCACGGTATACAAAGCGCTCCTTCTGAGGAGGGAGGGGCAGCCACTGAAACAAAACCTGGCCAAATCCCAGCTAAACAACCCACACCTGACTGAAGCTGACCCAGAGCCTGGGAGGGAAGAAGCAAGTGAGACATTTTAAGCTCACCTAGAGGGAGGCCTGGAGGCAAAGGATCTTTAGCCACTGGCCCATTCGCTGTGTTCGCTTCCTAAATCAATACACCACATTCTGTGGTTCAAAGGAAGTTAAGTGGTTTTATTTCTGAATTACAGGCATGGTTAATTGCACTTTGGAAGGTAGACAGTGTTTATATTGTGCCGGGTTCTTTATTTTACAGACACAGCAATGGCATATGTTCACATGTGTATTACAAACTACCCTGCAAGATTTTTACTATGTAGCTGGCTGAGACTCTGCTCCCAACACTATAGACTAGGTCCTACAATCTCAGCTCTGTACAGCGGGTACAAGAGATCTGAGAAAATGCTCTCCAGCCAAAAGAATCTTCTGACCCCTTTTCTTGCCACAGTGCTTGAAACATGGAGCCATGAAAATGCTTCCATTAGATAAAGAAAGGAAAATGAAATTCATCGTGAACAGCAAGAGAGTAGAATATTTATATTTGAGGTGCATTCATAACACGAGTTACTCTAACAACTAAACTACTTTCTAATAATTAGAAGACATAGTACAGAGGAAGAGAGGAAGCTCTGGTTCACAGAGTGAAATCACATATTGATATTGAATATTCTGATGGAATATTCACATGGGGTGTGTGTGTGTGTGTGTGTGGACTCTGGAATCAGAATAACAAGGTTTGAAATCTGGCACCAGCATTGTTATCCTCTCTGAGTTCCACTTACTACATCTATAAACTGAGGGTTCCTGAAATTAATCCATAAGAGGAAAGATACCAATCAACCACACAATTCACACAAGATTTCCAGTGAATGTGCAAAACGGTTGAAGCTCTTCTTGCATGATTTGGAAAGCGAGGGTGGTTATATGAAAGAGTATCAGCCTCTGCCACATTCTAATTGCATAACCTTCTGTTGAGTACGCAGGTAGCCAGACATGAGCAGGAAAGGGAACAGGCCCCAAAGACCACATCTGAGACACTCCAAATGTAGCAAGTACCTTGGGTTTTGTTATGGAGGCCCCACAGCCAGAACACATGGGCATATGTCCTGCCCCATTTAGGCAGAGTTAAGGGCAAACCCAAGAGTTTGTGACAGATTTTCTGACCCTGTTGATGAACAAAAGACCCAAACAACAGTCAGTTGAGTCCTTAAGGTGTGCTGTCACAAGTGAGGCAGTCAGACTTTCCAAATTGCCGGCTTACATCTCTCTCCAGGGGTGTACTGTCACTTCTACTGAAAACCTCCTTTTCACAATAAAAGTATCTTTCTCTACTGTACTTTCCTTTGCCTGTTTTATTGTCCTTTCTCCTGACACTGGGACAGTGCTCTAATTTTAGACAATGTCCCCCAAGAACCAAGGCTATTACTATGTCATCAAACCCATGCATCACTGAAACCAGTAAAACCAGTCACCCCAAGACCAGCTGCACAATTTGCAAGACCCACCGCAAAATGAAAACGCAAGGCCCTTTGCCAAAACTGTTTTATTAATTGTTTATTTATTTTTATATGTTTTTGCTCAAGCCCTTTTTATTTTTAAAATTAATTAATGCATAATTTTACACACTTATAGGGTACAGGGTGAAATTTTAATACATGTATACCACCTGCAATGGTCAGGCCAACTTAATTGGAATATCCTTCACCTCACACATTCATCATTTCTTTGAGTTGGGAACATTCGAAATCCTCTCCGCTAACTATTTTTAAATATACAACTAATTGTTGTCAACTATATTGCCTTACTATGCTAAAGAATATGAGAATTATCCCTCCTATCCAACTGCACTCTATACCCACTAAGCCATCCTCTCTCCATCTCTCCTTTCCCCTGCACCTTTCCCAGGCCCTAATAATCACTGTCCTGGTCTCTACTTCTATGAGACCCATTTTTTAAGCTTCTACCTATAAGTGACATTGGGAAGTATTTGTCTTACAGTGTCTGACCTATTTCATTTAGCACAATGTTCTCGAGCTCCATCTATGTTGCCCCAAATACCTGGTTGAAACTGTTTAAAGAATTTCACAATGGTGATGGAAGAAGATTAATCAAAAGGCATTATTCTTCTAAGCAGGGGACTTTGCAAGTACACAGGGGACATGCCCTTGAAGACAGCCCTAATTAGTCCTTACAACTGGGTCAGAACCCTGGTTTCTTCAGGACCTAACTCAATGATTATCACTTGCAAGTGACAAAAAGAAAACAAGCAGCATTCATGTGAAGAACCTAGGAGCCCTCCCTACTCCTGTCCACAGTACCTCTTGAGATGGACAATAGCACACCTATTAGCATATGTTTTTAGAGAAAAAAACTATAATGATACATGAAAGTATACCTGTGTTACAACTAATCACACAGACAGCAAGCAGAAACCAGCCTCTCTTGATTTATAGAAGAGTATACTAGACCTTTTCTTTCTCTGTCTCTTTTTTTAACTGAATTATTCCTTAGAATGCTATGTTATGTTTCTAGTCCTCGAACTAAGGAAGATCTCTGTAGTTATAACCTCAACAAAAGCACCAATGTCAGCATAAACAAACATACAAAAACAGAGGCACCTCCACATCAAAATTACACATTGGGGTACTGCTCACCTCCTTTTTTAGAAGCAGAACTTACAAAACACAGACTTACATGAATCCCCTTTCTTCAGTAAATAATTATCTGATGAAGATTGCCCTGGAAGGATTACTCCCAAGCACCCTCATCTGCTGAGTAGAGGGCTCTGTGACTTTTGGAGAAATTGCTCTTAAATGCATAAAACACATAAGAGGATTTTTTAAAAAATCCCTTACTATTCATTAAAGCATTTTAGGGCCTCATTAATTCAGATGGGATAATTAGTTGTTTATTATCCAGGTTGGTAAGCATCCATTGTCAGATGCTGAAGGGGTGTGAGATACTACATCTCATATCCCAGGAGTTACCTGAAGGCCATTAGCACTTCATCTGGTAAGGTAGTATCTTCTGGGGATAAATTAGCAGGGTTTTTATTCTTCAGTCTTTTCTTCCATCTCCCAAACTTCTTTTTATTGCAAAGTATTCCCCATTCTATTTGGATTTTCTTGCCTCACTAAGGTCTGCGGCTATATCAGAAACCACTTTCAATCAATGTGAGTCAATGCCCTGTATAGCTATCCTTATCTCAACCAGCAAAAACCCTTGTTCCTTCCTATTATTGCTTATACTCTCTCTACAACAAAATTAGAAATAAGGGCAAAATAGTTTCTGCTGGGTATTGGGGAGGGGAGAGGGAGGGGGCGGAGTGGGTGGTAAGGGAGGGGGTGGGGCAGGGGGGAGAAATGAACCAAGCCTTGTATGCACATATGAATAATAAAAGAAAAATGAAAAAAAAAAAAAAAAGAAACCACTTTCAAAAGCTTTTTGGTGACAAGTCAGTCACACTAAAGCTGAGGACTCTAATATTAAAAGGAAGTTGTGTATCTACATCCTCTTGTCTTTGAGTCTGTGTGCATCCATGTCTGTCTGTATATCTGTGACTGTGTGCTTGGTGTGGCTTTGGTTCTTGGCAACAGCCTCCTTCACATCCTCAGACCTTCAGATCCAGGTATTCAAGTTATCAAGGGAATTCTTCAGCCAGGGCTCATAGACTCTGCTTCCTTCCTTTCCAATTCCTTTCCTTTCTCCAGATTGATGGAGAATCACATAACGGCAATAAGCATGGTGAGAAAAGTCCCTGGATTAGAAGTTGGAAAATGTGACTCGGAGTTCTAGTTCTGTTTTGGGTGAGGAAGTGATGGTCACTATTAATCTGCTCTCTCTTCTAGTGAGCCATTTCATCTCCCTGACAGTTGGCAATTCATTTTCTCTCTCTTTAGCAATAGAGTGACATTAACATTTACCCTTTGTGTCATACCAAGAAGAGTCAGGAGTATATTTTTACAAATACAGACAAGTCTCCAACCCTTTACAAAACTTCTAATCTAAAAAGGAAAGAGTTCTCCCCACACTGTCAAGGATACCCTTAGCCAAATCTTCCAAGAAGGTCCTCATTTTACTCACGGAACTGCTCCAGATGGTCAGGACTGGTAGACTGAGGCATGGCTGTGATAGTCACCAATGGACATGGATTCCCTCCCAGCGTTTGGCAGAGAACATCCTGCCGGAAGTAGACTTGCCTGGGGTTGATACTTTTTTCTAGGATATCAAGGTGACTCTAGACAGGAAATAAAACAACCATACATATAATTAATATTTGATAATATCAGTAACAGCAAATAGCAATAAGAGCTTACAGGTGCTAAATCCTCATAATTGAGAAGTAATTTTGTTAACCTAATCTGCTTGATTAAAAGTGAGCTATTCCCAGGAGAAGTTTAGTGGGACTGATCAGAAAGCATCTTTCTTGCATACATCAGCATAATAGAGCCCTGTTTTCAAGTTGCACTGCAAGCAAGAGGACAGAAGAAAAGCACTCTTCCCATAACCACGTATATGAAGAGTGTGGTTACCATGGAGACACAGCACACCTAGAGCACTAGGGAACACGAGAGCCAGAGGTCCAGCTGCATATAGGACCACACAATAAAAAAGAGTTACAAGCACTTTGAAGGAAAACAAAAGCAATAGCTAAGCTAACAGTAAGCCCAACCAGTAATAATAGACTTTTCCCACCATACCTGCCCATTTACATACTCATTAAAAAAACAGAATCACACAAAAATGGATGAGCCATTGAAACTAGGACAACTAACACTCTTTAAGACCCCAAAAGGTATTTTCACTAACCAAGACAGTGAAACTAGTCACAAACAGGCTAGAGCTATCTCCTACTCCCTCTGCATCCTGTGACCCCTGTATGGTTACAGTGACTTCAGTAACCAGAGAGAGAGGAGCTATCCCTTTCAGCACAAGATCATCATTGTACAAAAATCATCTTCCCAGCTTAAGATCTAAAGTTTTCACTACAGACAGATATTAACAGAGCCAAGAAGAAACTACTACCCACCTTATTCTTTGACAATTAACAAGCCTGCTAGATAAATGAAACAAACACACACAAGAATCTATGAAAACAGTTATAAACTATTCATAAATATGTTATTGAAAGGGAAGTAGTGCCCTCAAAAGGTAGAGAAAGTGTTTACATGTACTAAACACATTATTCAGTTGGGGCCTATCTAATGACAAGTGATTTAAAGCAAAGACCCTTTTCTGGCTTCAGTGAACCAAAGAGATGGCAGAAAGAGCACACTGGCTATAATTGCTGTCTTTGAAGATGGCAGGAAGCATGATCTGCGAAGGAGATCAGGCAAGGAAATGTGTCCCCAGCACCACCACAACCACCACTTAGCTCCAGAAAGAACACAACATAATACCTTGGCCTTTGCCCAGTTAGACCTGTGTCAAACTTCTAACCTAAAGTACAATAAGGTTAAGGAAATTATTGTTCAAGCCATTAAGTTTGCGATCATTTGTTATGCCAGAAATGAAAACCAATACACCATGAAACAAGATAAAGAATGTCCTAAACTAAGTTTAAAAAAAAAAACAAACAGCATTTGGATAGAAATACACTAAAACCTGTTTGTACTCTATTGAAATATTTAAGTTCCAAGGAAAATGTACAGGTTCAAGGAAGGACGAGAGTATCAGATGATTCTGTGACCTTTCCTCCTTATCTCAGGGATGCGTGAAAATGTCACAGACTTATATCCTCCTTAAAATTGAAAACCAAAGTCATTTACTCACCTATGACTTGATGTTCACGTTACCAGGACTCATTATTGCTCCACCTTCATCAACAGAATGTTACAAAACCAGAAAACATTTGTCCATGAAAATAGAAATTACAAATAAGTATTCATCCCATGAATCACCCATCAAAACTCTTCAACAAAAAGCAACACAAGCTTTGAACTGAGACTCTTTGAATGCCTTGTCTCAAAATCCTTGCCTTACAGTATCTACCAATTTTAAACCATGATCCTCACCTAATCCTAACCAAGCCCACTTTAAACTAGACATTAAAGTTTCAATAAATATCCCAATTTTGTCCTTTCTCCTCTGAGACACTACCAAGTATATTAGATTTCCTTGACAAGTAAATTAGCTTCCTCTTGCTGCTTTAACAAATCAACACAAATTTGGTAGGTTACCCTATAGTTCTAGAGGTCAGAAGCCCAAAATAGATCTTACTGGGTAAAAATCCCTCAGGAGGAGATGAAGGTCCCCTTGCCACTCCCAGTTCCTAGAGGTCACCTGCATTACCTGGCTCATGGTGCCTTCCTCATTCCTCAAATCCAGAAGTCACATCATTCCAACCTTAAATCCATTGCATCACAATCTCCTTTTCTGGCTCTCTCTCTCTCTCTCTCTCTCTCTCTCTCTCTCTCTCTCTTACTTCATTCTTTCATCTATAAGAATACTTGCGATTACACTGGGCCCAACCTAATAATCTAGGATAATCTCCCCATCTCAAAGTACTGGATCATATCAGCAAAGTTCCTCTACCATGTAAAGTAATATCTTCACATGTTCTGATGATTAGGATAAGGATATCTCTGCAGGGACATTATTCTGCCTGCCATACCAAAATAAGCAATATACTCAACTCTGCCTCAGAAACAGGTTGTTCTGGTGATATTTCAGGGAGCCAGCATAAGTAACGGAATTACAATTCCCTTATACAAAGAGCATGTCTATCCTGGTTTAAAGACAAATAAGAATTCAGCCAAGGTCCACATATCTGACCCTTGTACTTCATTGGTAGCAAGTACCAGGTTTTGACAGACCTTTCCTAGAGGCTGGGTAGTCACATACCCACAAGGAGAGATGATGACGATCTGTGCATATACACACGCACACACACACCAACAGTCTTAGGTAAGTAAAACTGAAGGCACCCCAGGGCTGATGGCTTTCCTAGACTGATTGACCTATGTTCTCTCATGACCACGTAATTCTGTCATGAAGAGTGAGTCAAGCAAGAGAAACTGTACCTGGGAATCTAAAGACCTTAACTAAGCCCTGTCCAGATATACCTTGTTGCTGTCTTCCCTATATTCTTTCTATGGACAAGCTTGGCTTCCGGTAAGGCCTACTCTTGCGTGTTTGACTACCAGTGTAAATTCAATTCCACTTTTCATTGTTGAACAGAATGGGGCTTGCACCTACCCTATAATGAAGGTTATTGTTTAACTGTGTGTGTATTTTGATGTGTGCCTAGGTGCGTATCTCTGTGCATAAATAAACCTATTATATCTGTATCTACACATAAAAAAATCATTCTTGGCTCATACTTTCTTCTGGAACACTAGATGCCAGAGGAAATGAAATACTGCTTAGGGTTTGAAAGTAGAAAGGAAACTCATCCAGCAAACCTGTATCTAGCCAAGAGTTTGCTCATGAACACACCCAATATTCAAGAGCCCAGGAAACACATCACCTTATCTATATTGAAAATAGTGATTTGGAGACATGTATCAGCTGCCCCAAAGTCAAAACAATAGAAAAGAACACAACAAAAGTTCAGTAGAACAAGGTCTTAAGTCTAAATGACTACTTAAAACAGGGTTACTGAATAATACAAATAATTCTTTAGAAAGGAAGTACATATTTTCAAAATTTTATTTAAAATAAAATTAAAAAGAAATCTGAGGGAGGAGTAAATTAAAACAATAACTTTTCCAACTTATAGGTGTATAGTAATATTTAATTCTTGAAAATGGAAAGACAGTGTAGCAAGAAAGCTGAAAGGGCAAGTACCTGGGTCACACTGACCGGGGTTAGAGTCTGGCTGTGAATTCCGGGAAACTCATGTAAATTCCTACCTAACTTCCTCATGACTCAGTTTTCTCATCTTTTAAATGTATATAAAAATACCATTACCTATCTCATGCAGTGGTTGCTATAATTTAGGTGTATAATGTATATAAAAAGTATATAACATGGAGTGTATGTAACAACACTCCATGTTAGCTGTTATTGTTGATGGAGAAAAATGTGACTTTAAGGGCCAAAAGGGAAGTGCTAGCAGAACTATAAACACTTGGAAGGAAGGAAAATCACAGAAAATATGGTCCCCATTGCATAAAAAAAACAAAAGAAAGAAAAGATTGCATCAAAGCATGGAAAACAGCATAAACCAAAATGACAGACATAACAATAAAAATCTTATAAGTATAAACAGGTTAATCGGTCTTATTAAATGACAAAAATGTTCAGATTACTTTTTAAAAATTCTAATGCATGTTGTATATAACAAGTGCCTTTAACATGGCATAATGCGTATGAGAAATGTTTCTAAATTATCTCTTTATTTAGTTTGCCTCCACGCAAACATTTTTAAGGAGAGATATTGAAACTAAAAGGATAAGCAAACATAAATTAAAGCAGGCATGGCAGTCGTAATATATGACAAAGTCATATTCTAGATCAAGTGCATTAAATGGGATTTTAAAATCTTATTTTGATAAAGGGCACAATTCACAAAGAACATATAAAACTCATAAATCATCAGAATCAAATAACACAGATTGAAATATGTAACAAAACTTCAGAAGAAGAAAAAAATTATACTAGAAGTGGGAAATTTTAGAATAGCATCAGTCCTTGTTGTATTTTTCTCAAACATCCATGAAATTATGACAACAATTAGTCATATAGAAGGCTATTAAAATTCACTAAATTTTGCAAAAAAAGGAGAAATTGTATTAAATCACATTTTTTACAACTAAAAGTCTGCTACATTGCTACATATATACATATGCAGACAGCATCATAGAACTCACCAAACATTGTTTGAAAAAAAAAAAAGAGAGAGGAGCTAGGCACCAGTGGCTCACACCTATAATTCTAGCTACTTGGGAGGCTGAGATCAGGAGGATCATGGTTCAAGGCCAGCCTGGGCAAATAGTTTGCAAGGCCCTATCTCCAAAATAACAATAGCAAAATAAACTAAATGAACTGAAGGTGTGGCTCAAGCAGTAGAGCACCTGCTTTGCAGGTGCAAAGCCGTGAGTTCAAACCCCAGTACCACCAAAAACAATAAGAAGAAAAAAAGAGGAGGGAGGAAAAAACGGAAATATAATGGAGGGGGTGAACTTGTTCAAAGTACACTGTATACATGTATGGAATCATCACAATGAAATCCCTTCATGTTATTGATGTATACTAATCCAAAATAAAATTTAAAGCACATAGTAAAATCAAAAG